AAGCAGTTTCTGACTGGTGGACAATGACATCATCCTATTGCAAAGCTCATCTTCAAGTGTGGGGGTGTGTATGTTAGAGATGTGGGTCATGTACACTGAGCAGAAATAAAGACAAGATGAGATGAACTTGCAATCTTTCTTCTACCATTTACAGAGAGATTTCTTAAAAGGAAATAAATGTCACTGTTAACGACCACTATTTAGCAGCACCTAATCTAAACCCTGAAGACCCCAGGCTTCAGGTGCCAATTTCAAGACCAAGAATAAGAGCTATCCTATGAAGGGTTCCCTCCTCAGACTTAAAAAGGAGTTGTAAACTGGTTACGCAGTAAGCCTGCCACCTTATATCTGACTGAGAATCCAAGGTAATATTCTAGACCTTCTCCCACAACAAGCACAATGCAGTAACAAACCCCAGGCCACAAAGTCACCAGACAAATGAGTCATTTGACAACCAGAAACTTCCCTCAGAGGGTCCCTTTCCTACTGGGACCCTAATCTCCAAGGACCACACAAAGGAAGGAGGAGGAACCCAACCAGGCCCGCAAAGAACAAGGGGAGGGGGGAAGGCTAGGAACAAGGGAACGCAGAGGTCAGAAAAGGGAAACCACGGATGAGCTGCCAGACACTGCCTCCCATTACCTGTCCCCCAAGAGGGCTTCTTCTGGCTCCAAGATGGAGGCGCCCCGGGCCGGGCCCACTTCTCAGGCATCTCCTTGGGGACCGTCATGATCCCGTTTTAAGAAGGCGCACTGCACTGTCTGCCCTTGGCTTCAGCGGCGCCTATGGGGCGGCCCCCCGGGGAGGCGCAAGAGCTGCGGCCACGCAGAGGGGAGCCCCGGCCGCTGGGCGCGCAAGCCACCCGCAGCCCAAACCATCCTCGCGGCCACCTGCGCCTGGGACCACCAGCTCTGCAGGAGCTCCACTCCCGAATCCCACGACAGAGGCGGGAGGTGGAGCTTTGAGTGGCCGGAACGCGGTGCCCACGCCCCCAGGCTCCGCCCCACCTGCTCCCACTGCAGAGATGAAGTATGCCAGTGCCGCGTAGGCGAAAGCCAGAGCGCGGCCCCGCCCCCTCCCCCAGCCAATGCGGAGGAGCCGACCGCCCGCGTTGTCCAGGGCAACGGCTTTCATCCCACACACACCCCCCCTTCCGCGGGAAACCGAGGAGGGCTCGGTGGGTAGGCAAAGGAGACCAGAGCCCAGGAGCTCAAGCCAAAGAGTAAGAGCTGCAGGTGCTTCTGAGTAAGGGGCTAGTGATTAGCAGTCATAGCTGACCACCAGCCCAAAGATGAAATGAGGAATTCGGTTTCTTAGGCTACCTGCCTCCCCCCACTCCCGGCTCCGCCAGGACGCCTAGCAGCCTTAAGTCTGTCCCCGCCTCCCCCACCGCTTTTTCTCAGAACCATACTAGTCGTCTCTCTTCCCCCTGGCACCCTAAGTCATAATAACAGCCACTTTCATCATGGTCTCAGAGATCCACTTCTTACCTGGGGGGCGTTTTTTTGCACACAGTGCCATCTCACCCACCAAAGTTCCAGCAATCCCATGGGAGTCCCTGCAAGAAAGCAATGGACACGCGTAGTCAAGAATTCTTCATTCCCCACATGAGACCCCTTCTGAAGATCATCCTGACTATGCCCCTGCAGTCCCCACTGTCTTCAACTCCATTAACACACTCTCACCTTCCGGCTCTGATATGGATAACCGAGGGAAGGGGGGAGGGGCTTCCCTCTGTCCTGAATAATGAGGGGACTGGGAATTTATTTACGGAAGCCAAAACCTATAGAGAAGAGCCTAGAAGAGACCAGATATTGACAAGTGAGATGCAGCTCTTGAGGTATCCCCTCAGGAACAATGGATGTCCCTGGCGCCCTCCTGGTGTTGACGAATGCTGCCTGTACTAGAAAGCAGAATTTCCCCTAGTAGGTTGGGTGGAGATACCACGAGCCAGGAAACACCTGGCAGAGCAGCAGGAAACAGGGTGGGCCCATTCCACCCTTCTAGAAAGCGCATAATTTTCTCACCCCCACTTTCGTTACTGGGACTTCCATTATCACCTCTTCCCCAGAGGGGTTCTCATCGGAGGCATGGCCACCACTTCCTGCAGACCGCACCCCCCAAACCACTTCCTCACAATCGGGGCCAGTCACCTCTGGGGCCATCAGAGAGGTCTTGCCAACTCTGCTTAAGAATCACCTTTGTTTCCCACCACAAGTCTAGTTCGGTCGGCAAGACACTGGGTACTGGCTCGGAGAGCCTCTGCTCCCTTCCACCCGTTCGTGTACTTTCTCCTACAAAGGTGCAAGTCCTGGCCAAAGGAACCTCCTCTTCCTTTAGATGGAAAGTCTTCTCCCTCCTTGGTTCCCCTGCTTCCAGCCTGTCAGTCCCAAGAGTTACTAATTGCCTGTCTGCCCAATCTCTATAATTACCGACTCTGGTCCCAGCCCAGTCACCCACACCAATTCTCCCTTCACTAACACACACTCCCTCCTTGACCTCAGAGCAGACAATCCTGCGAGGCTTAGAGGTCCTTTACACTCCTGACTCTCCACAACTGTGGCAAGCAACGGCGCTGCCTCCTTGGCTCAAGAACAAAACCTCATGCACATTTTGGTGATGCCAAGCCCGCTTCCAGGGCCCCAGCCAGGGTCTCCACCCAATCTAGAGCATGAGTCATAGGAGGGTGGGGTGCGAAGCGAGGGAGAGGTTAGAGGATGCAGGGTGGGCCTTACTGGCTCCTACCTAGCCCCACCCCAGTGGGAGGCTATCAAGCATCATTAGCCCTAAGATCTGAGTCTTCTTCCTATGAAAGAAGTAACAGTGGAACTAGATGGCCATCAAGCGTCAACTTTGGACAGGGACCAGGAAAGTTCTTCTACCTCTAAGACCCTGGGGAGACCGAAAGCAAGTTTGGCCCCAATCCTCAAAGGGGGCACACTTATAGAAATCACTGCCAACAGGGTCCCCCTCTCAGGATATCCAGGGTTTTCTGAACCGGTTAGGCCCATCAGCCACGTCGTCGCCTTGCCCCGTCACCCTACCCCAGCCCCCTCTGCAGCCACATCTGGGATAAAAATAGCCAGCATTGGGAAGGAGGCAACGCTCCACTAAGGAAAAGGGCTCCTCCTCTGAGTCTGGCCTCCGCTCCTTTCCAACCAAGTCTTTTCAGAGGAAGCTAGCAGGTCGGCGAGGCAGGAGAAAACAATAACGCCAGGGGCCACCTTCCTTCCCTCTCCAAGGACAGTATCCAGGACCCACTGCACAGCTCTGAGCTCCCAAAGCTAACAACCCCGGCACCTTTGGTTTCCCTGGGGCACAGAGACCTCCACCTTCGCGGGGCAAACCCGATCATCCCCAAACTCCCTCTCCGGGCACCTAAAGGCTGGGACCAGGGTTAACTCCTCGCACCCCAACTCTCCGCGCGCCCCTTCGGCGCCCCATCTTCCCAGCCTGCGCACAGCGACCCGCACTCTGCATCCTGGGGAACCCTTCTCTCCATCCTTCCACGGCCGCTCCCCGAGGCTCCGAGGCTCCGAGGCTCCGCAGCCCGAGCCTCCCAGAGCCGGCCCTCCCGGTCCACACCCCCGGCCCGCCGCGGCCGCGCCTCACCTCAGCGCGCAGCGCTCGGCGCTCCGCCCGGCGGCCCCGTCCAGCCCATGCCGGGGGCTGGGGCGGGGGCGCTCGGCTCCGCTGCCCGCAGGCTCCCGCCCTCCAGCGGCAGCCCTGCTCTCCCCACCCGGGCCCCGGCCCGCTACTTTGTGTCAGTTTCGGCCGCGGGGCGGAAGTGACGGCGGCGGCCGCGGGCGGGGGGCGGGAGGGGCTTTGGGGAGGTGAGGGGCGCGGCGTGCGCCATTTTGGCGCGGAGGGGAGGGTTCCACGCTCCAGCCCCGGACACGCAAGCATTCGGCGAGGCTGGAGGACGCTGGGTTACTGTTTCTTTATTTTAGAGGCTTGAGAAAGAGAGAATGCTGCTTGCTCAGCCAGAGAACATCTGCGGGAAGGAGACCGATGCAGGAGAGGCGGCGAAGAAGCCCCTTAGCGAGGTTCTTTCCAGCCTGGGTCTCTGCTCTGCTCCCTCCTCGCCCTGGCTCATTTCCTGCCTTTCACCCTCCTTAAGTGGTACAGTCCCGCGTTCCCTGAGTATTAGTTTGTGCCTCAGTTTCTCTGCCTGGTTGTGCGACGCTGAGATGGCTCTTTCCCCTTACCACGCCTCTTGCGCGCGCGCGCACACACACACACACACACACACACACACACACACTTCTCTAAGAACCGTGGGGGCGGGGGTGTCTTTGGAGTATAGAGTACCCCCCTGTCAGGCCAATGGTAGATAGTGCTGAGATTGCCGGAGGCCCTGAATTCAGTCCCTGGTAAAATGTAAGTGGTTTTAGTGTGTTTTGTGGTGTTGTTGTTTTGTTATTTTTGGACAGGGTCCTGTTACATATCTCTGACAGGCCTGGAGATCCGAATGTTAGGATGAAAGGCGTGCTCCACTACTCCGGACTCGAGCTTAAATTGGTTTTGTTTTTATTTTTTGCAAGAATCATTCTTGTTGGGTGTGTTGGTCACACGCTGTAATCCCAGCAATGGAGACTGAAGTCAAAGTTACAGGGTTACATAGGGAAACTTGTCTTAAAAGGAAAAAAGAGGGGCTGGGAGTCAGAGCACTAGAAAACAAGCTTCTATCCAGAAGCTCCTGGGCCCTAACCCCTCAAAGGGGTAGCCCACCACCCAACCACTTCTGGAAATCTTCCCAAAGCCAGCGGCCAATGTGCACACCCCCTGGCGGCCTCTGTAGGGAACTGCGTGCCTAGAGACCCTCAGGGTGCGGAGACCAGTTTGGAAGACGAACAGAGATCTTGTCTTGGTTCTCCCCAGTCTAAGCAAGAGTGGGTAAACAGAAGCGTCCTGGTGTCTGACGTGTTAATACGGAGAACGTCTGTGTTGCAAGCTGGCCTTCTCATGGCGATCTTGCAGAGTTGAGAAAGTTGGTAACATCACAATTTACACTCCAGAGTTCCCAAGTCTGAAGCCTTCAGAGGAGCTGCTACCACCTTTGGAACTGGCTCCAGATCCTCAGGGTGATGGAGGGCAACCAGGAGCTGGTATGTGGCCGTGCCAAGGGTGGCCCCCACCATAGGAGCCACAGCAGGTACCCACCACCAGCCATGACCAGCACTGCAGAGAAAGAGGACAGAAGGAAGACGTCAGTGGTGGCTCTCTCAGACGCACCTCTCCCTATGAGCTGTGACTATAAGGCAGGTCCCCAAACTAGTTCTTGTGTTCTAGATCCCACAGTGAGCATGGGGTCACCTTCATTAAAGGGAAGCACTTGGTGGGGGCACCCCCAGCACAACTTAGTCCTGCCTCTAGTCTTGAGAAATTATCTGAACAGACTTTTTATGGACTGGGTCACTAAAGCCCAAAGTAGTATGGCGTGCCCAAGGACATGTGAATCTATTTCCGTAAAAAGCAGTGGGGACCAGGAGAGCATGAGGGAAGGGAGAATTTGCCAGTTAAAGTAACACTAAGTTAAGAGAACTGTTTGGAGAGGCACGGTGGCATATGCCTTTAATCTCAGCACTTGGGAGGCAAGAGGATCTGAGGGAGGCCAGCCTGGTACCCAGTGAGACCTTGTTTAAAAAGGGGGGAGGGGAGGTAGAGGCGCACAGACAGACAGAGGTGAATGGAGGGCTGTACCAAGGGAGACTGTCTCCTACCTGAAGACTTCAGGACCCCAGCCAGCGAGGTAGGTGAAGAGTCGTGGGCCCACGTCCCGGGCAGGGTTAATTGGAAAGCCACAGTTACCACCCATGGATACTCCGATGGCAAGCACCAGCAGTCCTACCACCACAGGCTCCAGACCTTCGGGCACTCCTTTGTTCCGCTTGTCTTGGATAGCTAACAGCCCCACAATCAGCATCCAGGTACCCAGGACCTGGGGTTGATAGTGGTGGAAGGAAACCCATTAACTGCCGGTGCCCTCCCTCACCCTTCATGCCACCACCTCTGTGCCATCGTCCAACAGAAGCCAGTGATGCCAAGACACAACCAACCCCATATTCCACCCAAATCTCAGCAACAGGCTGGGGTCCCAGGAAGCAAGTCAAAGGTTGGGGTCCACGTTCTCAAGCCTCCCTTTACACTTACCTGATCCAAGAAGCCGTTGTTCAGGGACAGGTAGGGGGAAGGGTAGGTGGCAAAAATGGAGGCTGTCTCTTTGGGACCGGTCACTGTCAGGTTCCCACCGGTATAGTGCTGGAGGGCATCTTCAGGAAAGAGTTTCTGTCTTTTTTTTTATCCCAAACCACTGCAAGGCACCCCACCCACAACAGTTGCCCCCAGTCCCCTCTGTTACCGTAGTAGAGAATGTAAGTAGCTCCTGAGGCGCAGAAACCAGCCAACAGTTGCACAAAGCAGTAAATGGGGAGCTTGGCCCAAGGGAGGCGTCCCACCAAGCACATGGCCAGAGAGAAGGCTGGGTTCAGGTGGGCTCCTTCACAAGAAAGGGGGGGGGAGAAGACAGATTAGGGATCAAACACCATCACAACTCCATGCTTTCTCCTACAATGTTTTTTCCATCACATACTTTAAACAATTAAGCCTCAAAAATATAATGATTTGGGAACTGGTTGAGAGCACTTGGAAAGGACCTTGGGTTATCAGCACCCAGTGGCAGCTCAAAAAAAATCTGTAACTTCAGTCCCAGGGGACCTGATGTCCCCTTCAGGCACCTCATACACTTGCTCAGACATACAGGCTTCTTTTTTTTTTTTTTCTTTTTTTCTTTTTTCCTTTTCTTAATGGTTTATCAAAGTCACACAATGAAGCCAGGTTCCGAGCCTGAGCAGATCTCCTGGTTCCCCTGAAGCACACTGGGTCTCAAGGCTGAGGCCAGGCCCACTAACACAGTATCTATTGAGAGAGAAGCTGATGAGGTCCTGAGCAGAGATGAGGGCTTCAGGCATGAGGCACAAAATAACCGTAATTATCCTCAAAGCTCTGCTAGAAATTTCTGCCTGGGTGAGCTAGGAGTGTGGTGGGGAGAATGGTCTTAGCTGGGATGTCTACCATTGTGACAAAACACCATAACCAAAGCAACTTGGAGAAGAAAGGATTGATACGGCTCACACTTTTCCATATTGCCGTTCACTATCAAAATAAATCAGGGCAGGAGCCTGGAGGCAGGAGCCAAAGCAGAGGCCATGGAGGGGTGCTGCTTACTGGCTTACTCCCCATGGCTTGCTCAGCCTGCTGTCTTTTGAACCCAGGACCACCAGCCCAGGGATGGCACCACTCACAATTGGCTGGGCTTGCCTCCATCATTCACTAATTAAGAAAATGCCTTACAGCTGGGTCTTAAAGAGGCATTTTCTCAATTGAGGTTCCCTTTTTTCAGATAACTCTAGATTGTGTGGAGCTGACATAAGACTAGAGGGGAAGAGTTAGCTAGAGGAAGGAGAGGGACTGGATAAGGTCAAAGGCGAATCTCAGTCCACCACACTGGTCAAGCTCAAGGAGGCAACGCCCATGAGTCACTGGAGGGACCTGCCTTTCCCCCATCACATATTCACATGCATACCTGTGCTCCCACGTTCAGACCCCACCCTTCTCACCTGAGACATTGCCTGCCACGTAGATAGCTATTGTAACAGCCAGAGCGCTGCCCAGAGTCATGGTAAAGGAGTCGTCTTTGTTTTCTTCACTGGTGATAGCCTGGGCCACAGAACCCTGGATGATGAGCTAGGGGGGAGGGAGAGAGAGGTGATGAGGGACAGGGAGCCCAGGGGACCCATGTGAGAGAGAGTAGCTGCAGGGAACCAGCAGGAAAAGTGGAAACTCAAAAAGGAAGGAAAACAGGAAAAGGAGACAGGAGATGTGGAGATCGAGGAAGAAAGGTGGGAGAAGAGATCAAAAGGGAGAAGTAGGAGCCAGCGTGGTGGCACCTTGAGTCTCAGCACTCCCAAGAGTCTCTGCAGTTCCGAGCCAGTCAGGACTACATAGCAAGATAGTAAGGAAAAATATTTAGGGGGCAGCATGAACACAGTCCCTCCCCGCTACCACAAGTTATACAGTTGAGTCTCCCACATTTGGGGAAATCTCAGGGTCTCGCACATCCAGTGTGCAAGGAATATGCCTTGCCCTGAGAAAACCACCTTTGTGATCATGGCTTATCCCTTGCCAGGTAAGGATATAAATAAGGAAAAATTGTAAAAGAGTAAAAATAGGCTAAGCTAGGAAGTTTGTTGAGGACTGTTGAGCCCAGCCTAGGGTACAAAGCAAAACCTAAAAACAAAACAAAATAAACACAAACAAACAAAAGATGAGGGAGTGAAAGAGAGCACAGAGAAGGAAAAGAGAAGAAATTGGGGTGAAAGGAAGTGGGTTACCAAGAAGAGCCAGAAACGCTCCCTTCTCACTTCCCCTCAATTACCCCACCTACCAAGAGCACAAATACAGCCAGAAACTCGGCTAGGCACTGTCGGACCACAAGGCTTCGGATCTGGAGGTGGGCCCTGATTCCACGCAGAGTACGAGCCATGGTGGGGACACCTGTCTCTCTCTGTTCACTGCTCCTCCGTCTGCTCAATTACCCAGCTGCCACACACACATAAGATTATGGCCTGCCGTAGGAAAAGATAAGGAAGAGACTTTAAAACCAATCATCTCAGTTTTAAAATAACAGTTACAGCCATGGCACGAGTAATCTAGAAAAAAAAAAATGGCTTTATCTGATATGGAGAAGCCAGAATGTAAGGAGGTTGGTCAGACTCTTGCCCTTGATCCCCATTCCACACAGGACTGGCTTCCCCCATGCTCCTGAGAGTGACCCTTCTTCACATAGTTCTCTTGGTCCTGAAGACAACGTTGTGAAGTAGTACTGGGGTAGGCTAGAAAGGCAAAGGAAGGGAGCATGAGAAGGAAAAGCAGCCCCTCACTCAGGAGTCTAGCCAGAGCTTCCCAACTAATGAACAAGAACCCAACACAATTAGCAATGCTTAAGGCCCTTCTCTCTTCCCAGATAAAAACCTGTCACTTTCTAGGACTCTAACTGGAGACTAATGTGCAACCTTGGTGGCTCCTGGTTGTACTTTATTAGATCATGATTCCATCCAAGGCATCTCTGCAGCTCTAACTTCACTTATCAAGAGAAAGGGGTTGGGTTTTTTGTTTGTTTGTTTGTTTGTTTGTTTTTAATTTCTATAGCAACCTTTTTCTGATGTAACAGGAGCACCACAGAAAATGCACATATGGCTAGTGCTAAGACAGTTAATTATGACTCTCCCTGAGGAAACCTCACCTACACTTAGGCATGTCTTACTTTCTGTGACTCTCTATTGGAGAAGCCCACACCCATGCCACAATATCTAATAGCCAGGCGCAGTGGCACACACCTGTAATCCCAGCACTTGGGAGACAGTGGATGTGGATTCTGAGTTTAAGGTTAGCCTAGTCTACAGAGTGAATTCCAGGACAGCCAGAAAGAAGCTATACAGTGAGACTCTGTCTCAAAAAAGAAAATACATTAATTAATTTAAAATATTTAATAAAATCTCCAACTCACTGAATATCGTGGTGCATTTCTTTAATTCCAACAGGGACAAACAGACCTTTATGAATTTGAGGCCAGCCTGGTCTACTTACTGAGTTCCTGGTCAGCCAGAGATGTATAGTGAGACCCTGTCTTTTTCTGGGGAGGGGTTCAAGACAGGGTTTCTCTGTGTAGCCCTGGCTGTCCTGGAATTCACTCTGTAGACCAGGCTAGCCTTGAACTCAGAGATCCACCTGCCTCTGCCTCCTGAGTGCTGAGATTAAAGGCATACTGAAATTCTTTTCTGCATCAAAACCATGAATCCTGGTTTGATCTCAGTCAAAGTCAGTAAAAAGTTAGAAAGAACTCCTTGTTCTGTTGAGAGTGACAGATCCTAATCTACGGATAAAAAAGATACTAAACACAAGCATTCCCTCATGACCACACAATGGCTAAGGGAATTCAAATCCAGGTCTCCAATCTGTCTGGTATTCTCCAAAACTTCTCATATGGAATATGATGTCTCCCTGAGTTACTTGGATGCATGAAGAACTCAACAGACATTTAGAGACACTGAGCTATAGGCTGTAGGCTCTGGTGAGGGACTGAAGAGTATAGGCTGTGGTGGTAATGATTGTTGAGTTGGAAACAGGAGTGAGACAGGGTCTTTCCAGGTAGCTCAGACTGCCTCAGCTTCTTGAGTGTTAAGATCACAGATTTGGCACACACCTTTAATCCCAGCACTCAGGCAGGCAAATCTCTTGTGAGTTCAAGGCCAGCCTGATCTATAAAGCTAGTTTCAGAACAGCCAAAGATATATAAAGAAACCATGTCTCAAAAACAAAACAACAGCCAAAGACAGGTATATGCTATTTAACAGCACTCCAAACAGATCCCTTCTCAGAAGGGACATGCCCATTCCCCAGAGCCTGTGAATACCAGCTGCTGATACCACACAGCTCCCTCTCTCACCGGGCAGTGCCTTCCAAGGTAGGACATTGCTTCACCCAAAGTGTGAAGCACTTTGGGGTCTACACATAATGACTGCTTGAGGCAGTGATTGTATCCTTTTTGTTACCTCTATTTTGGAATGCTGTGATAAAAACAGCTGACTAAAGCAATTTTAGGTGAGAGATGGAGTGAGGAGTATAGTAAAACATGCCTTTTAGACATGTAAAAATACCTTAATTAGGACTCCACTGTCCTGGCTGCACCTGAAAGCCAGAACCCAGTGACATCACTTACTCAAGATAACCAGACATGTGGCTAGACCTCCACAACACCCACTAGACAATATAGAAGCAGAGACAAAGAGCAATGCAGTGTTCTGCACATCTTCAGGGACTGCTGGGACACTGGAGAGACCCCAAACGGAACTGCCCTGCATCTAGAGAGTCTACCCTGGGATCCTGACCCTTGAACTGGAGACTACCATGAGAGACTTGGAACTGACCTTCGGTTAAGACATGCTGCGCACAGGTGAGCAGCCTTGGGGAGATAGGCTTAGGACTATGGTTAGGACTGTGGGTGAATGTTATAGGATGTATGACTCAGCCTAATTTTTGTTATACTAATTATGCCTACCTACCTTCTTTCATGAGACATAGGGTTCATTTTATCTCACAGTTCAAAGGTACAATCTATTCAAGTCATAGTCCATTGTGACAAGAAAGTCCTGGTGGGAGAGGCTTGAGGCAATATGTCACATTGCATCTGCAGTCAGGAAGCAGAAGTCAGTGAATACTCCTATTTAGCTAGCTTTCTCCTTTTTATGATATCCAGGACTCAACCCGAGGAATGGTACTGCCTCTTTGGGTGGATCTTTAATCCAATCAAGACAGTCCCTCATAGGAACATCCAGAGATTAATCTAGAGAATCTGAAACAGATGTGCCTGGAGGCTAATCCCCTACATAGTTTTACAACTGTCAAGTTGAGAATATTAATCATCACTTGTGTGTTTAAGAGTCCTAACACTCGGGGCAGGAGAAATGGCTCAGGAGTTAAGAGTACTAACTGATCTTCCAGAGGGCCTGGATTCAATTCCCAGCACCTACATGGTAGCTCATAACTGTCTATAACTCCAGATCTTACACAGACATACATGCAGGCAAACACCAATAAAAAATAAAACCAAAACAGAGTCCTCCTAATGCTTCTCTGTGAATCTTGTTCCTGTACCTCCTCAACCTAATTTGTTTCCAGAGAGCCCAATTGAGGATGGTTGGTGCAAAGAATCAGTAGAAGATGCTCCAATAACGAGCATTTTCTAACTGGGATAACCCAAAGCTTTAATTCTAATGTTCAGGAGGCAGAAGCAAGTGGCTCTCTATGAGTCTGAGGCCAGCCCAGTCTACTTAGAAAGTTCCAGGCCAGCCAAAAGACAGCCACAGTTAACATCACTATATAGAAGATCTACATAAATGTCCTTATATTGCCGGGCAGTGATGGGGCACACCTTTAATCCCATCATTGTGGTGGCAGAGGCAGGAGGATCTCTGTGAGGTCAAGGCCAGCCTGCTCTATAAAGAGACAGGCTCCGAAGCTACAGAGAAACCCTGTCTCAAAAAACCAAAAGAATAAAAAAAAAAGCCCTTATATCAAGTTAGTATCTATTGCTGAAGTAAAATTTAGAGTGTTTGGCTCAATAAGATGTGAGTAATATAGGGGCAAAGTGTTTCGTCTTGGAAAGCAACAGAGGCTTTCTTGCCCCAGGCCAATAAATCATGGGGCTTCTGTGTACTTTGTCTCAAAAACTCAAAGAATAATTTTATACAGTGGGAGTAAGTTTTAGAAAGGAGTTTACTAGATATTAATAGGAGAAAGCTCAAGAGACAGGAAGCTAGCAGAGCTCCTGGACAGCATGAGCATGTAGAGATGGGCTGTCACACAGGGCCTCTTTCCAGAGGTTCATGAGGCTTTATTGGGTTGAAGGAAGGGAGTGAGGTGGTCATCACAGTTGCCCCACCCATAAGGTGTCAATGGACTGCACCATGCCAGGGCCTGGGATTCCAGTCATACCATACACATAACTTGCAAGTAGCCATAGTCATTCTCACTGATGTGTTAAAAGAAAAAAAAAAAATAACAAGAGACCAGAACAAGACTGGTGCCCCTAAACATTCAGCACTTCTGTCCTCTGGCCAGACCAAGCTGCCAATAGAACCAAAGACAAAAATCAGAACTGCTTGTTTCTTTCTGAGGATACTGCGATGACTATCTTGGTGTCAATCTGACTACATCTGGAAATAACTAGAACCTACGAGACTGGGTATACATGTAAGGGAATCATTTGAAGTAGGAAGCTATCTGATGTGGTTTTGACCTGTCCTTGTAGATCTTGTTAAACAGATGAGTGTTGTGGAATAGAATGTTATTTTAACTATATAAAGATGTGTTACATTTGTTTATGCTGCATTTGTTTAACGATGTGTGGCTTTGCCTGCCTAAGGTACCTGATTGGTTTAATAAAAAGCTGAAAAGCTAATAGCTAGGCAGTTGAGGGATAAGTGTGGCTGCCAGGCAGAAAGAATAGGTAAGAGGAGGAATACAGGCTCCAAGAAAGAGGAGGAAGAATGAGGGAAAAAGAGAAAGAAAAAGAGAGGGAGACACCTGGGGCCAGACAGCCAGACATGGAGTAGGGCATACATACTGAGGCAAAACATAGCTGAAGAGAAACAGGTTAAATTAAGTTATAAGAGTTAGTGGGACAAGCACTCATAACTAATAATACGTCTCCATTTCATGATTTGGGGGCTTTGGTCTGACAAAGCCTACTATAGAGAAGACATTAGCAGAATTGCCAGAAATATATACTGAGCATTCAACCTTGATAATACCACAAGTGCCACCTTAAGCTAATGTAGGGGCATCTAATGCCATACTGTTTGTATTTGTTTCTCATCATGTAAACTTCAGAATTAAGAGAAATTCAGCTCAGTGAGATGACTCAGGAGGTAAGGACACTTACTGCCAATCCTGATGACCTGGTTTTAATCCCCGGGACCTACG